GGCACAAATTGATTTAAAAAAAAAAAACATTTTAAATGGAGCATTTGTTACATTTACTCTGGGTAAATCTATACCTTTTGACACTTTTCTTTCAAAGATAAGAGGAAGCTAATACCAGTAATAACATCCCAAGGGATTCTGTATAAATAGAGCCATTTAAGGTCTGCCTCTCAGAGAGTCCAAGTCCTTAGAAAAGTGGATTTATTCAAGATAAAGAACATCCTAGAACTGCGGTCCAGACAGCACCCACAGAAGTGGACCTCATGTTCCAGAGGGGAAGTTTCCCTCTCTGGCTGAGTACCATGCTCAGAGGAAGGGCTTTGCTGTGCAGGGGAGCCAGCCCCTTTCTCCGAACCACTCACACAGGGTAACTTTAGCAACTCAGTTTCTTACTCATTACAGGGATTTTTTTTTTTAATACTTTTATTTATTTATTTTTTGATCCTCACCCAAGGACTTTTTTTTTTTTTTGCATTTATCTTTAGATAGAGTGGGAGGGAGACAGAGGGAGAGAAACATCAACATGAGAGAGAGAGACACATCCACTGGCTGCCACCCACACGACTCCAACCAGGGCCGGGAACAAACTTCAACTGAGGTACATGCCCTTTGCGGGAACTGAACCCAGGACTCTCTAGGGTCCACAGGCTGACGCTCTAACCGCTGAGCCAAACTGGCCAGGGCCCAGGGATTTTGAATTAGTGTCAGCTTAATACACTTTTCAGTCATAGGAAGTACCGCATTAAAAGTTGACCTATATTTCGGAGAAAAACTTCTTGTGGCTGATGTGCATCTCCTTATCTCAAAGTAACTAGCTTTTCTGAGTGTAGTTCCTGTGTCCGCTTGTTTGCATAATTTGAACTTAAAATTTAGCTGTCAGAAGACTTCCTGGATAACCAAGAATAATCATTATATACTGAGCTAGGGAGCCCAGCCTTCACGGTGACTGATGGGGGGTGTGTATTGGAGGTATGCAAAGGCAACATTTGCTTGTATTGAACTTCATGGTTCTTCAGGAACTCTGATGAAGATATAATGACCTAAGCCAGCGTCACAGTTCATACTGACTCTCATTCGATCTTCAGTGCATAGAGGAGCTTAATCACAGAGCAGAACAGAAAACCGCCCTGGAAATAAATGCAACACAGCAGCTGTGTGTGGACTAATACAGCTGCACTCTCCTCATTTGTCTTTGCAGCTTAACCAGCCTCTCGTAGCTGAAAGCTGCTGGCGTAAACCTCTGGTGGGTTTGAACTCAGTGAGTGGCGACAGGTCAAGAGGGAGCCTTCGGGGGGTTCTTGAAAGGTTCCTGTCAGGTTGTAACCTGCTGCTTGGAAACATCCATTTGCAATCCTCTTGGCAATTTTGCAGTTAATTGTTGAGTCTATATATAGTAGGCACTTATACATTAAACATTATTTTCCACTAGGTCACATGTTCTCTGGCTTCCTTCATCCTTGGCAATATGCAGCTTTCAAACAGAAATTTTACAGTATGTGTCAGTCATGTGGTAGTGGTTCTTAAGGTGTGGTCCCTGGGCCTCTGGAGGATCTAGAAACCCTCTGCTGGGGTCCACAAGGTCCAAACTATTTTCATAATGACATTGTCTTTTTCACTGTGTGGACATTTGCAACTGATGGTGCAGAAGCAGTGGTGGGTAAGACTGCCAGCACCTTGGCATGATTCAGGGCACTGTCTCCAAACTGCTGATAGTTATTGTGCTCTTCACCATTAGCTGTTAAAAACAGTTTTATGTACAAATGACCTTGATGAAATGGTAGTGATGATTACTTTTATTAAATCTGAATTCTTTTTTTGGTAGTGAATCAACTTTATTTTCCATTTTTCAGGCTAAAAAAAAATTATATCTATTTCTATATCTATATCTATATATCTATATCTATATCTATATCTATATCTATATCTATATCTATATCTATATCTTCACTTACAGTTGACTTTTAGTATTATCTTGTATTAGTAGTAATCCTTGAAAAGACATCTTTTTACTGGTGAGTGTGACGAGATGGAAAGTATCCTAAAGCATTTGGGTGTTTTCCAAAATCTTTAGTGACTGTTGTGAGCTGAACTAGGCCTCTTTTTCATGGGACACCATCTGTGTTTCAAAGAAAGGTTGACAGACAAACTCTAGAGAATTTGGCAGTCATTTCCTTAAAAATGAATGAAGTGAGCCTGTTACTTCAAGGGAACAACTTGACAACATTTGTTGACAGTGATCAAATTCTAGCTTTTAAGTGAAAATTGGAATTTTGGAAAGTTTATATGTGCCCCTGTGAGCTGGACAGCTTCTGAAGAGTTGAAGACTCATCAGATAAAATGAGATATAAACCAAAGTGATTAAAACATTTTTTTTCCTTTATTGATGTTAGAGAGAGAGGAAGGGAGAGGGGGAGAGAGAGAGAGAGAGAGAAACATCGATGAGAGAGAACATCGATTGGCCACCTCCTGCATGCCTCCCATTGGGGATTGGACCCACAACCTGGGCATGTGCCCTAACTGGGAATCGAACGGGCGACCTGTTGGTGCATGGGTCAACGCTCAACCACTGAGCCACACCGGCCGGGCAACAAAAGTGATTTTATTTATTTATTTATTTATTTTATCCTCACCCGAGGACATTTTTTTTTTTTTTTTTTTTTTGTTCAGGTAGAGTGGGAGGGAGAGAGAGGAACAGAGAGAGAGAGAGAAACATCGATGTGAAAGGAACACATCGAGTGGCTGCCACCCACACAACCGACCAGGGCCGGGGACAAACTGCAACTGAGGTATGTGCCCTTAGCGGGAACCGAACCCCGGTCTCTCAGGACCGCCGGCCGACACTCTAACCGCTGAGCCAAACCGGCCAGGGCCAAAAGTGATTTTAAAATATTTTATAATGAAGCATGTCAACACTTGGGAGAATTACGTATATTAGTGAAATAATATTTTCTAGTAACGAACTATAGAAATGATCCTTGAAAGTATAGTCTTATGAAATAATGTTTTCTAAATGACCAGGGCATGTGTCACACAGTCATGCACAGGTAAAGACGCATTCAAGGTGCAATGTAGGCTAATGCCTTTTATTGTAACCAAGTATGAAAAGTCATTGCTAGGGTTTCAGATTTCACATTGCAACTAGCTTCTAAGAAACCATTACTCATCGAGTTTTGATGTGGCATCAAATAAGAATATCCACCATTACCTAACAAGGCCATTGAAACTCTCATCTCTGTGTGCAGTCGGATTTTTTCATGTACTTCAACCAAGTAAGGAAGCGCCACAGATTGAATACAGAAGCGACTGTGAGCATCCAGGTGTCTTCTATTAAGCCAGACAGGAAAGAGATTTGCTAGACTATGAAACAGTGCCCTTCTTCTCAGTACTTTTCTTTTTCTTTTTTCTTTTTTGGTTTTGTTTTGGAAAGTTTTTAAAAATAAAAATATACACATGCTAGTTACATTAACATGTAATGGATTTATTGTCTTTTTAAATTAATGTATATTTTAAAAATGACTGAGCCTTTAATTTCTGATAGAGTAAATATTCATAGCTGCAGCCCACATCAACAGAAGCTCTCTGGGGTCCTTAATGATTTTTAAGGGGGTTTTGGGAACCACTGTCACGAGACACAACCAAGAAGGGGTGCATTTTGGATAACGGCACCATCCCAAAGTAGCAAAGGCTTTTTTTTTTTTTAAGATTTGGAATTTTTTTTTTCCATTAAGTTTTCCACATTTTAGTCAAGAATGTAAGTGGGTTGATTAGTTTTTCATCTGTTTTGAATTTCCTTTTAGCTTCTGTCTAGAAAGTTCGTGCTTCAGCGATCCGTGTGATAGCAGGGAGGGAGGTGTCACCGGGGGGTTTTCATAGCATAGCAAGACCCAGGCTCATCTGGAACAGCACCATGTATCTGATACTGAGTGAGGTTTTATTGTGACGCTCCCCTGTCTTATTTGGACCCTGTTCTTCTAGTAGGTGCTATATATATATTTTTTTTAATTATTTATCTTTTTTGATTTTAGAGAGACAGGAAGGGAGAGGGAGAGAGAGATAGAAACAGCGATGAGAGAGAACATCGATTGGCTGCCTCCTGCATGCCCCCCTCTGGGGATTTGGCCCACAACCTGGGCATGTGTCCTGACTGGGAATCGAACCGGCGACCTGTTGGTGCTCAACCACTGAGCCACACCAGCCGGGCAGGCAGGTGCTTTACTACAACTTGCCAGCATGATTTTGCATACAGATAACTTGATCAAAAACACATTGCTAGTTTTGAGGCCGCTAATTTGTAAGGTGAACTCAATTCAAATGTAGATTTTTTAAAGAAAGGTTTCCGTAGCAAAAGGTGTTGCTTTATATTATATACATTAGGGCTAAAAAGAATCAGAAACTAATGGAATAGGGAAAAAATATAGTTACCCTGTTGACAAGAGTGAAATTGAAGAGCAGATGGTCTCAGCAAGTTTTCAAGCAAACACCTTTAACTACTGAAAATAGCCAGTGCTTTGGAGATGGTGGGAAATTATACAGAGAGGGGCCTCTCAAATTAGGAGTGTGTGGAAAGGAGTTTTTAAATAAATATGATCACTGTGAAACTAAATCAACAAAGGTTTGCAGATTAGCAGAGAGCTTTAAGACACCTTGCTCTAACTTGCTAAGAACGATTTGGAATCCTTAGAGTTGCCCTCCATATAGCAGGGGACACAACCCAAGACCCAGTGGATGCCTGACCAGGGATAATAATGAACCCTATCTATACAGACATGCCCATGAGAATGTTTAATTTATAAATTAGGCATAGTAGGAGATTGACAATAACTAGCAATGAAATAGAACAATTAACAATAAGTTGTAATAAAAGTTGTGTGAATGTGGTCTCTCTCTCTCTCCAAATATCTTATTGCCCTGTACTTACCCTTCTTGTGATGATTCGAGATGACACAGTACCTACATGATGAGATGAAGTGAAGTGGAATTTTCCATTGTAATATTTTCAGACGGCAGTTGACCGAGAAGAACTGAAACTGTGGAGAAAGAAACTGCAGATGAGGGGGGACTACTGCACTTGAATTGTTTGTATATTTGTTCTCTCGAGTGGTTTAAAGATACTTAGTCTTGTGTTTACACTATTCATTTGCTTGACAACCCTTATCATTATAAATAAAATAGATAAATCATCTCCCTGAGCAGTCTCTTGAAATGGCATCTAGTTGTTTGTGGAATTATTGAGGAGCAAAAATCTATGAACACCTTAAATATCTGTCCCTTATTTTTATGAGAATATTAAAAATTATTAGGTATAAAGACATTTTACAGTGATTATTTTTAATTAGAAAAACATGCTAGTAAAATAAAACCTTAGTTTCTTAGTTCTCAAACTGTCCTGTGGGCCAGAATGGGAGTAAGGTTGAGGAAATTATTTTTCTTCAGAAGAGGGTTTCTCAAGTTTGACTGCCACCTGTCCGCTCCCGCCCAAGCTGGATTTGTCCGGAATTTTTACTGGTTTCGCAGTTGGCACTCCTTTGAATGGAAAACAGAATTGAAGCACCACGACGGATGTAACGTCAAAGGTGCTCGCTTTAAAACCAAGCCGAAGGGTGACGCCGCGTGTTCCCTGTCGGGTTGCACACGCCTGTGATGGGGTAAATTATAGCTTTGCATTTTTATATTTGATTCGGCACCTTCCTGTTCTACTGATCCTCACAACTGATTCGTGAAATTAGGCAGGGATTACTTCTGCGTTCGGTAGGCAAATGACTAACACCTTGCGCTGCCCAGGGCCTTTCTCTGGGAAGTCCCAGCGCTTGGGCTAGAACCCTCATCCTCTGTTAGTTGCCCTTCAGAGGCAGCAAACTTTCCATCATGGCCTCTCTGCAACCCCCACTTCCCCATGATGTCGCGCTAACACTCTGTCCACCGGCTCTCGCTCCTCACTGATGAACCCAGAGCCGAGTTGCAGCAGACCTTGCTTGGCCTGCTCGTCCTTAGCTGCTGCTCACATCCACCAGCTCACTGACCTCCCTCCGTGAGCTCCAAGATCTGTTTCCAACTCTAGCGGCCATACCGCCCCCTTGTTCACCATGTCTCTTCACCCCCAGCTGCTGCCCTTCCATCTATGTTTCTCTGGAAACAGAAGCAGGAGTCACCCTGGAATCCTTCCTTTCCTTTGACCCCCCCCCCCCCCAGCCTCAGCCAACCAGTCACTAGGACTCAATTATATTAATGCCAGTAAAATCCTTCCCTCTGCTCTCATGTTTTCTTCTTTGAACTGGAAAAGTCTCCTGACTTCAGTCTTCTGAACATGACTATGGTTATGTCTCCCACCCCCCCGCCCCCACAAGCCCTTTAGTGGCTCATGCGTGTCCATTGGAGCATCTGAGCTCGCCATTCAAGGCTTTGAGTGATCAGGCCGGGACTTTGTCTGGTCCTTGCCCACTACCCCACCTTGTGCTCCAGAGGACAAGTTCATCTGCTTCCTGGACATCTCCCTGCCTTTGCATTAGCTGTTCCAAGAACCCCTCCACCCCCATTCTTCCAGTCTAGGAACTTCAAGGCACGATGCAAATTGAGCTCGATTTCTGTTCCCCAGCCCCTAGCACCATTCCTAACGCATAGGCTTGGTTGGTTGAATTAAATCCATGTGCGTTATTTTACCGGTCTGAGGAAAGCAGTATTTTGTAACTCTTTTCCTTTCCATATCCTGGCCCCCAATTTCAGTGAACTGTTTTGAGTGAGCACGCAGAGGTAGCAGTGCAGGTGCTGATAATGGGACTGAGTTAACATGGGGTGTGTTTCACCTCTCAGTTTTCAGTAGCTGATAAAGAGATTTTCCTTTGTACCAGGACATTAATTATATCCAAAACACATGTTTCTAATAGGGATGGAGAACGTGAACAAATGGGTCAGAGATCAGTACCCGAGGCAGTTAGTTTTCAAACCAAATTTGGTAATGTTGATTTAAAACTGCTCAACACAAATGCACCCAAGTACAATCATGGAAAATATCAGAATTGCTTTCTGTGTAGCGGCATATTGTTGAGAGAACTGTTCATTGAAACTCTGTTCATCACAGAGAAAGATTACAAACTCTCTCTCTCTTTTTTAAAACAGGATCAATTTGACAACTTAGAAAAACACACACAGTGGGGAATTGATATTCTTGAGAAATACATCAAATTTGTAAAGGAAAGAACAGAGATTGAACTCAGCTATGCAAAGCAACTCAGGTAAGTTGATATTGAGAAAAGTTATTTGTTTGTTAACTGCACAATGGATGTGAGGATAATTGCTATTCTTATTTTATGCTATACATGTATAATCCTTCAGATAGTTCTTTTTCCCTTTCATGTAAGATAACATTTCAGTAGAAACAATTGTTTTTAATATTGAAAAGTAATTCTCTTAAAACAGGGAACATAAAATGTAACTTATAGCTTTTAGGCTCTTTTTTTTTTTTTAAAGTCTATTTTCTGAATTTTGGAGCAGCTGATTTTTTCAGAAAACTTTTTATTGAAATAGAACTTCGATAGAAAGAAGTACAGGAATCCCAAGGGCACGGCTGCAGAATTTTCAGAGTGAACACACTCATGTAACCACACCCAGGTGAGGAGACAGAAAGGATCCCTTCCTGTTCACCGCCCTTCCCCCAAGGGTGACCACTCTCCAGACTTCTGACAGCAGGGATTTCATCTTGCCTATTTTCAATTTAATTTTAATTGACTTTAGAAAGAGAGGAAGGAGTGAGGGGAGAGTGAAACATCGATTTATTGGTCCACTTATCTATGCGTTCATTGGTTGATTCTTGTGTATGTTGTGACCCTGACCCGGGACCGAATCTGCAACCTTGGGTATGAGGATGGCGCTCTAACCAACTGAGCCACCAGGCCAGGGCTGGTCTTGCCTGTTTTTGAACTTTATGTGAATGCCCTCATTTATTAGGTGGCGTCTGTATGTGGTTGGCTTCATTGTTCTCCATTATGTTTGTGAGATTCATTCATATTGTTAGATGTGGTGGAAGTTGGTTTCTTTCCCTTGGTTTCAGTGTTTTGGTGCATGAGTGCCACGGTCCATCCAGTCTCCCGTCCTAGGCGATTGCTTGTTTCCTGTTGAGGATCAAGAATGGCCCCAGGAGTGGAATTGTGGGTCATAGGCTTTGTGTATGTTTAGTCTGAGTAGATGGGGTCCGTCTTCCAAAATGCTGCTGATGCGTGCGCCCTCCAGCAGTGTGTGAGAGGTCCCACAGGGCAGCATTTGAAAAGCACTTTGGACCTCTTAACATCTTTAATGATGAAAGTATCCAAGAAATGTATGCTTTTATATAAAATGTCGGAAAGTTTGGGTAGAACTAAGCTTGAACTTGAAGTGGCAGGCAAAATCTTGAATGATTACTTGTTTGGTGGAGTTGGATTGTGCAGCTTGTTAAAAGATCTAGGTGACTTGATTTGGAAACATTTCTTTTTAATCCAAAGATCATTTGCACAGGGTTATGTCACATGCCATTGAAAGCATGTGGGTTCTCCTAGGGTTAGTGGTGTCGTTTGTAAATAGGCAGCTGTTATGTAGGGAATATTTTTATGGATGACAAGTTTTGTGTCCGCTGCGTAAGTAAAACGTAAAGCATATTGCTCAATGAAATCATTTTTATTATTTGGTGAGTCCAGATTGGTTCCTAGTGCCCTGTGTGTATATCAGCCTCATTCCTACCTTGAGGCTTTAATTTTTTTATTAATATTTTTTCTTTATTGATTTTAGAAAGAGAGGAAAGGAGAGGGAGAGATAGAAAAATTGATGAGAGAGAACATTGATTGGCCACCTCCTGCATGCCCCAGTGGGGACGGGGCCCACAACCCGGGCATGTGCACTAACCGGGAATCAAACCGGCGACCTCCTGGTGCATGGGTTGATGATCAACCACTGAGCCACATGGGCTGGGCTACTTTGAGTCTTTTAGAACTGAACATAGGAATAGAGAGTGAGCTGCTTCATGTTGATTATTTAAATGTTGACTGTTAGTAATAAAATGTGGTCTTATATGTGAAAATGGATTACATACAGTTTTAGCTAAAATACGTTCTCACCTTGTGGATTTATCTCTGTGTGTTGTCTTTCTTCTTTTCCTGTTAGCATCCGCTCCTCTTTGCTGGTGCCTGAGTCCACTGTCTCCTTTTGCTTTGGAGGGTTGTTGTTAAATGTCAATGAGTTTGTTCTTACATATTTCTGTATCATTCTTTTTTTTTTATTGTTGAAAGTATTTCAGATGTCCTTCCCATTTTCCCCATTGACCCCCTCCTTCCTGCTCCTACCCCTCTCCTGCTTTCCCCAACCTAACCTAACGTCTGTGTCCACTGGTTGTGCATACGTTTCTTTATCATTCTGTGTCATGAGTATGCACTCGGCTCACTGCCCTCTCTCATCCTCCTGGGTGAGGGAACTGAGGACCTGGGTAACAAAATGGGAGGCTGTTGAAGACTGCAGATTCCAAGGTAGACTTAGGTAAAACTGAACAGCTCCTAACTGACCATTTCACCCCACTGTGGATCAGTCTCACAACCAGAAATAGAGTATTGGTGTTACCGCTAGGATGGTAATCTTGGGGGAAGTCATTTTCCTGAGATTTAAATATTAATATTTGTTTCATCACATCCCTGAGAAGTATCTAAATTTGTACTTGTTGGGAGAAGTTGATAAAGAAAGATGATGAGCCCTGGCCCGTTTGGCTCAGCGGTTAGAGCGTCGGCCTGTGGTCCAGAGAGACCGGGGTTCAGTTCCCGCTAAGGGCATGTGCCTCGGTTGCAGTTTGTCCCCGGCCCTGGTTGGTCGTGCGGTGGCAGCCACTCGATGTGTCCCTTTCATGTCGATGTTTCTCTCTCTCTCTCTCCCTCTCTCTCCCTCCCACTCTATCTGAACAAAAAAATGGAAAAATGTCCTCGGGTGAGGATTAAAAAAAAGAAAGAAAGAAAAGATGATGAGTAATTGAATAAATGCCTTCTAAACGGTGACTGATCCTTCGGACAAGTCCTCCCACCTTTGATACTGAGCTCTCAGCCAGACCCTTCATGTTGAAACGCAATCATACTATTGATCCTTGTTGACCTGCTTTCTAATGTTCCCAAGTGACTCCTCCACGGTTTCTTTTACATCAGCCTCCAACGACCCCTGTCCCAGCCTCACCGATTGCTCCCTTCTTCACTGAGAAATGGAAGAAGTCAGGAGAAACCATCCTCAGACTCACACTCTACCGCCTGCCAGCACGTTCCCCCTCTCTGTGCCCCCCACCCCCACACTGCTGTCTAAGCCCAGGCCCTCCTCTCGTGCGTTAGGGCTCATCACTTTCTGACTCCAGAACTCTGCCCCATGGGTTCTCCTTTCTCTCCTCCATCAATCTCTCCTGGATTGTTCCCATCAGCACACAAATACGCCACCACATTTCATTAAAAAGTGAAACTATTGAGTTCACACCTGCCCCACCAGCGACTGCCATTTCTTTGCTTCCTTTGGCAGCAAAACTTCTCAAAAGTGTCCTAACTTGCTGCCTCAATTGCTCCGCTTGTACTATGTTCATGTCCGCTTGCCAGCACAGGTCCTCAAAGGCACCAGTGACCCCTACGGTGACAGCCCAGTCGCCTGTTCTCAGCGGCTCTGACAGGGTGGATGCTCCGGCCCCCTTGTCTGGCATCTGATCTCTAAGGCAACGGCTTGCAGACATGTGTCTTCATGCTGGACCTCTCTTCTGAACTCCAGAAAGAGATTACACAAAGCCTCCATTTGGATGTCTAAAAGATATCTGAAATGGAACATATGGGAAACTGAGTCTCTCCGCTCAGAATCTGCATCCCCACAGCGTGCCTTTCCCACTCATGGAGGCAGCTGCATGCTTCCTTGCTCAGCGCAAAAACCCTAGAGTCATCTTTGGCTGCCTTCTTTCTCTCAAGTTGACCCCACTTCCATCAAAGCTGTCAGGAAGTCCTGGTGACTTTCCTTTCCAGATAGATCCCGGATCTGACCACTTCTCTTTAGCCCCACTGCTGCTACCGTGACCTAGTCCCTAGCACCTCAGCCTGGGTTCAGTCCCCTAGCTGGATTCCTTTATTCCACTCTTTCCCCCGCTTGTCTGTCTGTTTTCCACAAAGCAGCAGATCACGGCACTCTGTTCAAAACACCAACATCTCCCCATTTCTTTTTTTTTATCCTCACCCGAGGACATTTTTCCATTTTTTGTACAGATAGAGCGGGAGGGAGAGAGAGGAAGAGACAGAGAGAGAGAGAAACATCGACGTGAAGGAACACATCGAGTGGCTGCCACTGCACGACCAACCAGGGCTGGGGACAAACTGCAACCGAAGTACGTGCCCTTAGCGGGAACCGAACCCGGGTCTCTCCGGACCGCAGGCCGATGCTCTAACCGCTGAGCCAAACCGGCCAGGGCCTCCCCATTTCATTCAGAGTAAATCCAGAATCCTCACGGTGGATGTCCTACAAAGCCTTGCATGATCCAATCCCCATGCCTTTCTGACATCATCTCTTTCCTCCCTCTTCCTGCTTATCTTTGCTCTGACCATTCTGGCCACCTTGCTGTTTCTTGTACATACCAGGCATGCTTTCACCCCAGGGGGTTGCACTGGCCCTTCCATGTAGAGATCACCTGTTTGTCCATCCCCCAGGAGCCGTGTGGCCTGTGCTCCTATCTCCCTCAAGTCTGTTCATATGTCATTGGTGACCCCTGTACTGTTCAGTTTTTCTGCAGCACTGATAGCTTTTTAACATTCTATATCATTTTCTTATCTATTGTATTTATGGTTCATTGTCTCCCGCTCCTTTTCCGCTAGGAATGTAAGCCCCTCCAGGGCAGGGCTCCAAGTGTGTTCACTAATGTATCCGATAGTGTAAACCAGTGCCTGGCCCATAATAGGTGCTCAGTAAATAGTTGTAGAAAGAGTGAGTTAAGAGGGTACAGGTGTAACATGAGATATTTGGTCAGCAGGACTTCCAGGAGAATTAGTGTTTGCACAGGCCAATGATCGCCAATGAGTGTTTAACCACAAACAGAACAACCTACATTGTGTCAGCAGGGTTCCAGGGAGACTAATGAGTGAAACACAGGAAGTGCCTGTGCCTGAGGCGCTCACCTTCTCACTATGGAAAAGAAACCCCATATAGCCCTGGCCAGTTTGGCTTAGTGGTTAGAGAGTTGGCCCTCCGTCCAAAGAGCCTTGGGTTTTATTCTGAAGAAACCCCATATAGCCCTGGCCAGTTTGGCTTAGTGGTTAGAGCGTTGGCCCTCCGTCCAAAGAGCCTTGGGTTTTATTCTGGTCAAGGGCATGTACCTGGGTTATGGTTTGGTCCCCGGCCCTGTTTGGGGTTGTGCAGAAGGCCACCAATCTTTGTGTCTCTCTCATATTGATATTTCTCTCTCTGTCTCTCCCTCTCTCTGTCTCTCCCTCTCTCCCTCTCGCCCTCACTCCCTCCCCTCCTACTCTATCTAAAGATAAATAGAAAAATATCCTCTGGTGAGGATTTAAAAAAGAAAGAAAGAAAGCCCGGCCAGTGTGGCTCAGGGATTGAGCGTAGACCCGTGCACCAAAAGGTCGCCGGTTCGATTCCCGGCCAGGGCATATGCTCAGGTTGTGGGGCCCAATCCCCAATGGGGGAATGCAGGAGGTGGCCAACCCATGTTCTCTCTTATTGATGTTTCTCTCTCTCTCCCCCTCTCCCTTCCTCTCTCTCTAAAATCAATAAAGATTTTAAAAAATCAAGGAAAGGAAAGAAACTGCATGCAAATGCACAAGGAAGTCACTTAGAGCTGGCATTTTTCACCCCAAATGAGTAAAACCAGTGAAGCGATAGAGCATGATGCAGGCAGGGGTCACTTAGCAAGCCTGGCCAGGGAAATCCCATTGCTTGAGAACTGAAGGTTAAGGCGGAGGCCTGTGTGGAGGGGTCTGGGGGTAGCTCTTCTCAGCAAGGGTAGTGGTCCTGAGGTGGCAACATGGTCAAGGGACGGAAAGGCCAATGTGACTGGAGGACATGCAACAAATAGTTGCTTGAAATGTCAGTATGATGTTGAAAAATCAACATGATCTTTTTGGGGAGATATCTGTCATTAAATAATTATTTTTCTGGATTGAAGGAAAAAATGGCCAGTTTATTTTAGACATAAGATGATGATTAAGACTTTGCTTTCTGTAGATCAGTGGCTGGCAAACTACACAGTCCATGGCCAAATCCATCCACTGCCTGGTCTTATTGGAATCCAGCCACATCCATTCATTTATGTATTTCCTGTGGCTGCTTTTGCAAAACAGTGGCAGTTGAATAGTTGTAACAGAAACCTGGTGACTGACCCATTTTCAAGTCTAAAATATTTACTGATTGATGCTTTACAGAAAAATTTGCTGATCCCTGTTAGAGTTATTATTTATTCAAGACTGCATAATGTCCAGTTCCTAATATAATTTTAAAACATCTTCTGTGCCCTATATAAGAGCACCAATTATTGATTGCCCTTAGCAACTTTCTTTTTTTTCTTTTTATTTATTTATGTATTTATCTTAATCCTCACCCAAGAATATTTTTCCATTGATTTTTTAGATAGAGTGGGAGGGAGGAAGGAGAGAGAGAGAGAGAGAGAGAGAGAGAGAGAGAGAGAGAGAGAGACATCAATGTGAGAGAGACATATTGAGTGGTTGCCTCCCACATGACCCAACTGGGGATCTAACCTGCAACCAAGGTACATGCCTTTGACCGGGAATCAGTCTGTGGGCTGACGCTCTAACCGCTGAACCAAGCGAGCCAGGGCAACTGTTTCTTTTTCTAAAAGACTAAAGTATTTGTTATGACCAGATAATGAATGCATGTGCTTAAAAATTCCAAAATGCCAGAGATACAGAATGGTGTACAGTGACATGGCTGGTGTGTTACCCCATCCCCACGGACAGTAAATGTTATCAGTCTCTTATGTGTCCTTCCAGAGAGATATCACACACACACAGGCAAAGAAGGGTACGTTTTCTTCCTTGCTTCCCCAGCATTCAGTATGCACTTGCCTTCCTGTGTCCTGGAGACTGTTCTGAGGTTCATTTGTATTTTTTGCAGCTTTACAGTATTGTGTTGGATTGTTGGCTGTGTTGATTCTTTTCAGTTGTTTGCCACTCTGAATAAAGTTGCAATGAATAACCTTGAAGAATACACTTGGCCAAGCAAATCTAGAGGATAAGTTCCTAAAAGTAGCGCTTCGGTTGGTAGAATTTGCCAAGTTGCCCTCCTTAGAGCCTGTGACCATTGATACTCAGTGGCAGTGCCACTATCTTGACCCTCAGTGCTTCTTGTCACCAGTCTCCTTTATCTGTGCCAATTTGACAAGTAAGAATTGGGAAGTCTGAATGTTAATTTGTGTTTCTCTTAGTAGAATGAGGTTGAGTATGTTTTCATACATTTCAGCCACTTATACTTTCTTCTCGATGAACCATTCATGTCCGGTCAAATTTTTTTTTTTTTTTTTTCAATTGGAGCTCATTGTAAATAAAGGGTAACTACGTAGAAACCATTTTATGAAATATGTTGCACATTGTATATACAAGGTGTTACACTTAAATTTACTTTAACAGTAGAAGGGACATTAAAGTGAAACAGAAGGATTTGCTGAACTTTAAATATTAAACAGCCTCTTATAAGATTTAGCAAAAAGATTATGAAAAACGTTTAGAATGCCCTTATTGTTTTGCTTGCTTTCTTAAAAGCTCCATGTTGTAATTTTGAGCAGGCTCAACTGACTCACTGCTAGGGAAGAGAAAAAAAGTTATTTACATGTTTCGCTTCCTCTTCTAATTGAATTATGTAATTTGATCTGTAACATGATTTCCACAGTTAATTTGTCTTCATTCTGTATTTAAATATAGACTTACGCTCACCACCATTCCTTCTACCACAGCTTCTCCTCTTGTTAGTATCAAGAAAATAAAGATGTGGTCCCCCTAATAAGAGTTGGTGGCCTAATCCTTGGTTTCATTCTGTTTTGAGTGCCAATAGCCTTGGCAACAAGGTAACTTGGCCGTTCTCTGGTTCTGCACTTCCTTTCTCTCCAAACTTTGTTGCTGCGTTAGGTTTTGGTGGCAGAGTCTGGGGCCAGCCAGGTTCTTTTTCTTTGTAGGTGACTTGCTTTTTAAAGAATACTTGTGAAGACCTTTTCTCTTTCTCGCAGCAGTTTGATAACTTCACCAGGCTAGGCCTTGTCCTTGACCATTCTGTCAGTTTTTTAGAGAGCCCTTCCATATGCAGGTTCAATTTTTCATTGTTTTCAGGGGAACTTCCTTCCATTATATCTAAATATTTTTCCTATTTTATTTTTTGGTCTGTATACCTCAGTGATACGAGTTTTCCTTATGTTCTTCTCCTCTTGTTCTTTAGATCATCTTATTTCTGATTATGTTAGTTGCTTCTCACATGTTGATGATATCAGAACTTCCCTCTATTAAATTTGATAGCCAGCCTAGTTTATTTATTAGTCCTGTAGTGGAGTGTTTTAGTTCTTAATTCCTTTTCTTAGCTTGCAGTCTCCCTTTTAGTCCAACTCTGTTTTATTCTATAATCTGAGGGTTCTTGCTCTTGTTGGCTCTGTGTTTTTATTAAATCTGTCTATAGTGTAAAATATTTTGAAGGAGTTTGGTTTAGTTTCTTTTCCTTGGATGTTTTCTTCGACATTGGGTTTTTCTCTGTCATCCTCTCCCTCCCTCCCTTTCTTCCTTCTTCCCCCTTCTTCCCTTCCTGTCTACCTCCCTTCCTCCTTCCTCTTCCTCCCTCCTTTCTTCCCTTTTTACCCCTTCTTTTCTCCCTTCCTGCTGTCCTTCCTCCCTTTCTTCTTTCTATATTACACATCATATCTTCTCAGCTGGCTTATATTTAACATGGACTGTTTAGTGACGTAGCTCAGTGGACAGACTGTAGACTCCCAGTGCCTGGGATGCAGTCTTCATCCTTCCATTGACTTTGGGTAGTTATTCTCTGTGTTTTATCTTTTCACCTATAAAATGTAAATAATATGAATTCCCACTTTATAAGGTTGTTGGAGGGGACTTAATGAGATAGAGCATGCAAACCTCATAGGCAGATGCCCAAGCCTGCTTTTGTCATTACTTAAGCATCACCAGGGCTTCCGTGTGCTCAGATAGTGTAGTTGAAGGTCCCTTTCTTGCTTCCAGTACCATGGGTCTTTTCTCTGTCAAAGGGGAAGGGTGGGCCCTGGCCGTTTGGCTCAGCGGTTAGAGCATCAGCCTGCGGTCCAGAGAGACCTGGGTTCGGTTCCTGCTAAGGGCATGTACCTCGGTTGCAGTTTGTCCCCGGCCCTGGTTGGGTCGTGCGGGTGGCAGCCACTCTATGTGTCCCTTTCACGTCGATGTTTCTTTCTCTCTCTCTCTCTCTCTCTCTCTCTCTCTCTCTCTCTCTCTCTCTCCCTCACCCTCCCTCCTGCTCTATCTGAACAAAAAAATGAAAAAATGTCCTCAGTTGAGGATTAAAAAAAGGGGGGGAGGAAGGGGCCTGGTTTGAGTCTCTTCTGGATAGAAACTTTGTTGGAGGTTCTGTTTGGGGGTTTACCCTATGAGGTCAAAGGTGTTTCCTCTTCCTTGGAATCCTAGGTTTGGGGTGATTCCCCCCTCCCCCCACCATGGCCAGCTCCTGCTCTTGCCCATGTTCTGGAACCACCGGGGTGGTCAGCCTGGCTGTCTTCCTCCCAGAGCATTTTGTCACTGTCCCCAAGTACTTCCTTAGCCCTCAGTTCATTTCTGTTTGCGTCAGCATCAGGGTTTTATGGACTCACTACCAGTGACAGTAAGGGTACAACCACTGTCCATTCCATGCTGCCCCAGAATCTTCCGTCACCCCTGTCACCGCTTTTCAAAGCGCGTAGCCTAAGGTTATATACCTTTCTTCATTGATTTATTTGCTGCTATTGAAACTTTCCTGTGTTAATTTTTATCTCTCACTGGGAAAGCACAATTCTCTCATTGGAATTTCTTCTGCCTCTTTTTTCCAGACATCTTGTGGGGAGCTTTTTTAAAAATCAAAGAGAAAAAAACAAAACATTCCTGGACCCAACCCTGGACCTTCCATTTCAGAGCATTTGGAATGGGGCCCAAGTGTCTCCTTTTAAAAGCCTCCCTTCAGTTCCTAGGATCAAGCACGTTTAAATGCAATGTCCTTGTTAAAGGTCAGATATCTCTCTCTTACCTTTTAATTAGCCTCTCTGAAAGGCAATTCAAGGATGTAAAACACTTAAAAATTTTCGGAAGATCCCATAAATTTAAAGATGTTTTTTGTGGTTTGTTGGCTAGCTTGTTTTTTCAAAATAACCTCCTACAAATAAGCCTGTCTCAGAGAATAGAAATGAAAGTTGATCTTTTTGTTTTTTGTTTTTGCAGTGGTCCCTGAGAGACATATCTTTAGATCTGGAATTCACTTCCAGACCTCTTAAGCTTTTAGATTTCTGCTGGCCTGTATAGAGTGGATTATTCATTGGTGCCCTTAAGAAGCATTTGAACATTGTAGATGCTACCTTCGTCCCCTGACCCTGATGGTCTTCATAGGGTGTCACCCACCACGGGTCTCCAATCGCATTTAGGGTCTGACTGGTTAATGGGAACTATAAAGAAAGGTGGTTTCACCTGGTTCTGTTCAAGTTATGTTGCCTTCAACTAGAAATTATTTGTGTGGCTGCTAAGAACTAGAAGCTAAAAAAAAACTTTAGCCCAGCCCATGTGGCTCAGTGGTTGAGCGTCAACCCATGCACTAAGAGATTCCCCAGTCAGGGCACATGCCCAGGTTGTGGGCCTGATCCCCAGTGGGGGGCATGCAGGAGGCGGCCAATCTATGTTCTCTCTCATCGATATTTCTCTCTCTCTCTCTCCAATCAATAAAGAAAAAAAAATTTTTTTAAAAAAACTTTAAAGCTTTGAAAGAATTTTAATATAGGATTTGAATTCAGAAGCGATATTTTCAATTTGTAAGTTATAGTTAGCAGAAGAAATGGTTCATATTTAAAACCGTGTGCTGAGAACAGCTTGTGTGCTGGACATTTTCCATACTTGACTCTCTCAGAAATGCTGCTCTAAGTAAATTTGGAAAAGAATCTATTGGTTGTATAGTCTTCCATGTTTTTACTAAACCTACCTTTTAAGGAGTGGTTGTGATAAACCCAATTGTACTGTGCTTTCAACATATAAGACTTCTCTCTTTTGCATTTTTTTCCTCTAAGGCACATTCTTTAAGAAAATATTGCTTTTCCATATTTTTTAAAAATCAGATTTATTAGGCAGACTGTGTTTTTTATCCAGAACATCAGCAGAGGAAACATGACACAGGTTAAGTGTAACTCACCTGATAGCAACCTTCAATTACATTCTTCTTTCCTCAGTTTGCCTAATTATAACTTTTACATTGTTACAGATTATTGTTAAATAATTGCGTCAATAGATGTTCTATTGAGTGTTAAATAGTATCTTGGGATTTCCAAACTTGAATCAACAATAGAGGTAGTTTCATCTGACCCCTTACCCTACCCCACCCCCTCCCCAACTTACAGATGAGGAACTGAAAGTGCAGCCTTACTTGCTGGTTTGTCCAGGGTCACACAATTCAGGCACAGTGACCTCTGGAGTCCCAGAGCAGTGTCCTTTTTACTAGAGTCCACTACCTCTCATGTCATCTAGTAACACCCGTTAGTGGTGAAATCCCTTTCCATTTTGCAGAATGTACCATGATCAGAATTGTACATTTATGGTCGCACTTTTTTTTTTTTTTTTTAATTCTCATCCGAGGACATTTTTCCATTTTTTGTTCAGGTAGAGTGGGAGGGAGAGAGAGGAAGAGAGAGAGAGAGAAACATCGAAGTGAAAGGGACACATCGAGTGGCTGCCACCCACATGACCCAACCAGGGCCGGGAACCAACTGCAACCGAGGCACGTGCCCTTAGCAGGAACCGAACCCGGGTCTCTCTGGACCGCAGGCCGACGCTCTAACCGCTGAGCCAAACCGGCCAGGGCTGGCTGAACATGTTTTGCAGGCGAATCTGTAGATTTGGGAGGAAATGGGAAAAACAAAATGTGGAAAATGAAGGTAGCTACTAGAAAAGAGGAATAGCAGCAGGCCACAAACAGGGAAGTGAATGCTGAGCGGCTGCCTGCCTGCTGCAGTCCACTGCGGACCCTCGTCAGCCTCCTGCTGTTTCTCCCACGACGGCTCCCCAGTCAGGACCCACGCGGCGGCAGCCAGTGGCGCCAGTGGCAGTGAGGCGTGGCTGTTTTCTCATGACGACTTCTTGGGTTTTGTGTCAATTTAAGCTGAGTATTGAGCAGAGCACTTGCATTGTTGACCTGGAGGTAGGGTTAGGAAGAGAGGCAAGAGTGATTTTGGCTCATCGAAGTGTGTTGTTCATTGAGGCGGCTTCAAAGGTCCTCTAAGGCCCTGGCCGGGTAGCCCAGCTGATTAGAGCATTGTCCTGATACGTCAAGGCTGCGGGTTTGATCCCTGGTCAGGGCACATGCAAGAAGCACCCAGTGAATGTATAAATAAGTGGAATAACAAATCGATGTTCTTGTTGTTTTTCTCTGTCTCTCTCCCTTCCTTTCTTTCTCTAAAAATAACAACAATAATAATAATTAATAATTAAAATTAAAAGGTCTTCTAGTTAATGATCTTAGCGTGAACATAGCCCCAAAATTGTCTCTACTGCCTTGGAAGACTTATTCACAGGCACTTGTCATTAGCTTTTTGGGGGAGCAGGCACCCAGCCTTGATCACATGCCCTTGGCCCTGTAAGTCTTAATTTAAACAATGGGACACAGCGCATTTGCATCCCTTGAATTTAGAGCAGTAATGCTCAACTGAAGACACTCACACGAGCATGGTGGCCTGGTAAGGAAACTGCCCTCAGCTCCGTGCTACGTGGAAGCCACCTGGAACACACACAGTGGCCTGTACTCGCCAGGGAAACCAAGCTGGGTCTTCATGGCCAGGTCAGTGGCCAGCTAGCAACCACCATTCTGTTCTCATTTGCTCCACCTGGGAGGTAGAGACTCAAAGCTATCCAAGTCCCTCATAACAGGAGCTTCATCACACGCGCTGGAAGATGGAAGAAAATCATGCATTTCAGCTTGGGAAATTTTGTAGTTATTTTTTTTTATCTTACTAAAAAAACACTAACTTCATCTGTCATCCCTGATTTCTTAAGTCTCTCTCTAGGTGAGGTGACATGTCCGCATTTTTTGTTTTAGGAATCTTTCGAAGAAATACCAACCTAAGAAGAACTCGAAGGAGGAAGAAGAATACAGGTCTGTCCATTGTTGATAATGAGGTGGTAATAGCTCTGCGCCATTGGTGATGACTGTGAGGGAAAGGAGAGACAGATACCTATAAAAACAGGTTGCACTCTCTGTTCACATCTGTGTCCATTTTTAAATTGGGGGAGAGAAAAACAAAAACCTACTCAGTGATGAGTCACTAGACCTCTTTGCAGATTGTTTCAATTTGGGTAATTGGGAAAAGCTTGGAAAATAATCTAAGCAAATACAAGAAGTGTGGATTGTGTATTCTGCAGTCTTGATTTGGTTTTGTAATATTAAGAATCTTGTTCATACTAATTCATCCAAGATATATGTCCAGTGACTAAGACATCTTCACATGGACAGTCCCAGAGTATTATGTCTCTAATTTGGATCTAAATACCCATTACATGCACACATAGAGTATGTATATGTATTTTGGTTTATATTCGGACTAAGCATTCACAAAGCCAGTTGTTGCCCTGCATAGAACATTGTTTCACAAAATGAAAAGTGTTTCTGTTGTAATTAATGCTGAGCCGTTTTGATGAAAACACTTTTGGGTGTAATGAATTGTCAGGATCCTGTGGGAGGTTGATGCAAATTAACCTGGTTTTAATGACTCTCCTGTGTAAAGCAGCGTGCGCACGGATGTGACCTCGTTTACGAGGCGTGGTGTGTGTTCTGTCCCGCAGGTACACAGCATGTAAAGCCTTCCTTTCCACCCTGAACGAAATGAACGACTACGCGGGGCAGCATGAAGTCGTCTCCGAGAACTTGACCTCACAGATCATCGCAGGCTTAGCACGCTATGTCCAGGAAGTGAAGCAGGAAAGAAAATCGGTAACGAAATTTGTTTTTTTCTTTCGAAGAGATGGACCAAAGATAAGGGGAACATCCGTAGAAACGTTAAAGTTAAATAGAATCACAAATGGTGGGTCTTAAACTTACAGCTTTGAGAATTGTATAAAAATTATGGGCTTTGTCCCTAGAAAGTGTTTCTAGGTCCTTACAATTTCCAGGGCCCCTCAGACACTCTGAAACCCAGAATATTAATTCCTTTGAGGAATTTAAATGTTTTTGAGGAGCCCAACCTGTGTGGCTCAGTGGTTGAGCGTCGACCCATGCACCAAGAGGTCGCCAGTTTGATTCCTGGTCAGGGCACATGCCCAGGTTGTGGGCCTAATCCCCAGTGGGGAGCATGCAGGAGGCGGCCAGTTGACGTTCTCTCTCATCGATGTTTCCATCTCTCTCCCCCTCTCTCTCTAAGATCAATAAAGAAAAAAGATATTTTAAAAAAATGTATTTGAGGATATCAGACATACAAGAGTAAGCAATATAATATGGGGTATGCTGTGTGGAATAAACAGTATTAAAATAAATGCTTATGAGGAGTTTAAAAACGCCAGAAAGATGACCTCAGTTCCACCCACTTGATTTCTTGGTTCATTCATTGCTATCTAATGAAGAGGACCTTTTTGTTTCTCCTAGCACCATTAAAATCTTTTCATGGCTTTTATTGTGAACAAGAGAGAAAAATATACATACAATATATTCATAGTCAAAGATTTGCCCTAAGAGATTTATTTTTAAACTGTGATTTGTATCATTGCACTTTGATCACCTGCTAGGTGCATAATAATCTGTTAGTAATAAAGTACCAAAGTTGGTCAGTGATGTGTTTTTTTCATATACATTTGAGCTCACAAGAATTCTTTTAGTACTCTGGAGATGTACGAACAGATGGGGCTCCTGCCGAAATGGAGAAGACATTAAGTAATAATGACCAAAATAACTATGTAATTGCCGTTGTGATAGTTGCTACAAGTGCCGCATTTTTAGGTCTAGCTACTATTTCTCATGTTTGGCTAGAAATGATGTCTTGTTTAAGTACCATTCTTAACCATCAGTAGAATACCTTTTGGGCCACTTGATACAGTGGCGGAATCCTGTCCGCCCAAAGGGACAATTTCACATTTGCTGCATAGAATATTTCCAACTTCCATTCAGAACGCTAGTAGGGAATTATTTCTCATCTAGATTTTGCTATTTGAATAGATGAATCTCTAACAAGAGTCTGCATGGTGAAAATAGCTCACTATTCAAAAGGTGACGTTTCCTTCTCTTTTTGTATAGTGTGAAAGGAAGTAGAAGAAAGGTAGGTAGTGGGAGAGATGGATATATTCTCCTTGCCTTTGGGGCCATAGCATGACAGTGAGCCAGCTGTTTGATCTTTAAGCCTTCAAATCTCCAAAACAGCTATTCATGCTTTTAGGAGAAAAGATCTTTGTCATGCAGCAGTTTCCACATATGCTGTATTCATATGACAGTGCGCTTACTCACACAATAACAGGAATAGCCAGTGTTTGTCCTGACACAAATCTGCAGGCTTGTCTTTATGAAAAAGATGTTGACTTTTCAAAAGTAAATTCTTTAGCCCGGCTGGTGTGGCTCAGTGGTTGAACATCGCCCATGCACTGAGAGGTCACTGGTTTGATTTCTCCGTCAGGGCACATGCCCGGGATGCAGGCCGTTCCCAGTGGGGGTGTGCAGGAGGCAGCCGATCAATGTTTCTCTCTCATTGATGCTTCTTTCTCTCTTTCTTCCTTCCTCTCTCTAAAAACAAAAAATTAAAAAATAAAAACATTTTAAAAAAGAAGTAAATTCTTCAAAAAAGATTCTTAACTTGCCGCCTGTAAAAGCATAGTGTTTAGGTTCTTCTCTGGCTGGTGTCTGAGCCAGCGGTACTTTGCATCAGGGAGCAGGAGCACTTGGGAGGCCCAAGGTGAAGGCTCTTAATTTCTACACCTAGTGGGCTCTACTTTGGCAACTGGTTATTTTGTTTGTTTGTTTTTTGTAAGATGTTCACCTTCTGTTTAGAGATGATGGAATCAGTGGCCCTTCTTTGGGTAAATATAAATCCAAGTGCACAGTGCAGTTCCTCTGCTTTGTATTCAGTCTTTCACTGACAAACCTAAATGTCAGTAAATCTGTATTCTGTGACAAGGTCTGGGACTCGTTGGTGTTCAGTGATAACGAGTAGAAAACCAGTGGGTTTTTTTTAAGGTAACATGATTAGTGTTAATGTATAAAAACTGGAAAATTTGTACTTGCTTGATTTTCCTAGATTGTTATAAATTTATAGTGAATACAATGTTCATTATCTGTTTAAGTTGACCATATAAAATTAAGAACCTGTATTTCTTTTATTTAGTCTCCTTTGTTTGTGTGTGGGGTGCCATTATTTATTTCTTGGTTGCCAACATTTAAAAAAAATATTACTAAAACTCTGGATTAAAGAACAAAACCTCACAATCCTTACATATAAAACTATTAATTTTTCTAAATTTTCTTCTGAATGTCATTGTAGACAGGTATTTATAGAGATAGGTATAGAGATGTGATATATATATATTTTTCTAAATAGCTGTTATATTTTTATACATTTTATATATTAAAATATGTCTATACATTTTATTTCTATATCTATATACATATATAAAATTGAGTATTAATCCTAGTATAAATATAATTTACATTTTTCTTTATCTCTCATTTAATATCATAAGTACTTTCCATGCTTCTGCATGAAAATTAATAATTAGACTTTTAATAGCTATATATTACTCTAACTCTATTATAATGCATGTAACTAATTCTTTATTATTTCATCTATGGGCTATTACCAGTTTCTGATTAGTTGGTTAGTTAGTTAGTTATAAAAACAATATTGCAGTGAATTCTTTACTTTTATAGCTCTTTTCTTCATGTGTGGAATGGAGGTTATTTTCCAAGCTAAATTCCCAGGAATGAGAATATCAGGTCAAAATATATATCATTTATGTTCTGCCGGCATTACTCAGTGGTTGAGCATCGACCCATGCACCAAGAGGTTCGATTCCCAGTCAGGGCACATGCCCAGGTTGTGGGCCTAATCCCCAGTGGGGGGCATGTAGGAGGCGGCCAATCAGTGTTCTCTCTCATCGATGTTTCTGTCTCACTCTCTCACTTCCTCTCTCTCTAAAATCAATAAAGGAAAAAAAAATACATGATTTATGATTCTTGATTAAACTTCAGTCATTTATATGATTAATGCTCTTTAACGGAAGTATAGAAGAGATTTCCAAGTCACTAAAAATGATCCAGGTGGCTGTCAGTTGGCTTATCTGAGATGAGAGTGGCTGTTAGAGGTACTCCTCCATGAAAACCAGCATAAACACTCTCACTAGCAATGTTTGCATTAAGTTATTACAGAACTTTAGAGAGATTGATTGGTTCAGCACCAGCCTTCGAGTCTGTCTGGGGTTCTCCACAGTGGTCGCCACTCACCGCATATGAGGGATTGATTTGTGGTGACTGCAGCTCCGGAAGGTGAATCGGGAGGTCTGGCCAGCATTTACGGGAACCTCCAAGTAAGCTTCTCCCAGCAGGTGGAAAGTGTGTTTATTATGAAATGCTGGCCAGGAGCAGAATCACTTTTGGCAGTGGCTATCTAAAGAGTTAGAGGAAACAGTTACATAGGGTGGGCAAAAGGAGGTTCGCAGTGTGAGTATGTGAAACAGAGTTTATTCTTGTATTATTATTTATTAATTATTGTAGTATTTTCTATATGAACAACTGCAAACCTACTTTTGCCTCACCCTGTACAATACCTTCAAAGACTCATAAAATTTTTTTAAACCTCAAGGAATGCTTACAAGACTCCACAATATTTAGAATGACCATTAAATTTTTTCCCCTGAGGTTTCAGAAATGTTTAAAAATGGATACTAAAAGCTCAACCACTGAGCCAAACCAGCTGGGCTATGACACTTCTTCAAATTAAGTATTAGACAGACCCTGTTTGTGAACTGTGAAGAGACTTTATTTTCTATAAGGCAGTTCTGTGGCATGGGCTAACTCCAATATGTTTAGAACTTTTTTTTTTGGATCAGATAGTGGGAGGGAGAGAGAGGAAGAGAGAGAGAGAGAGAAACATCGATGTGAAAGGTACACATCAAGTAGTTGCCACCCGCACAACCCCAACCAGGGCCAGGGACAAACTGCAACCGAGGTACATGCCCTTAGCAAGAACCGAACCCAGGTCTCTCTGAACTGTAGGCTGATGCTCTAACTGCTGAGCCAAACTGGCCAGGGCGAACTTTTTTTTTTTTTTTAATAAGAGATTACAGCAAATAGATAAGATTGAATGTGAAGGAAAGCAAAAACTAAAAGGAGTTTATAATATATGATATTGTATATATTATATAAATTGCCGACTCTCTCGGCCTGCCGGAGGTTGTTGCAATGCAATGAGCTACAAGCAGACACGGCTTGGAGTGAGGGGAAGCATCGCAAGGGAGCAAATGCTTCAGATCTCTGGATGCAGCTCAATTTATTTGCAAAGTGGTTCCCCAGGTTACGTGGTGTTTTAGGCATCTCTGCTGACCTTACAGCCAAGCCTAGCATACTTCCTATTTCAGCTGTCTCTTGCTGAAGGAGAAACATAATAAATACATTCACAATTGGGCAATAAGCCCATTGGGTGCTTTTAGGGTGGCTTTCCATCCCGTCATGCATACCTTATCTATTCACATGTATACTATACATTCAGGGTGGTTCCAGCCCTAATCATGCATCCTTTGATTGATATTTTCAGGGTGGCTTTTCAAACCCAACATGCATACCTTATCTATTCTCATGCATACTTTGATCCTCGACCGGCCAGGACGCGAGAATACATACCTCAAGGTTACTTTTTATTCATCCACCAAACCCCCAACACTACAGTAAATATATATTTATAATATATGATTTGTAATATAATATATGACCCAGCACATTACTAATCTATTTACTAATCT